CTTTCACACTGGTCCGTGCAAAGCCAAACAACAGGGTCCTGCACTGCACCCATGTGAGCAAAAGGCCAGTCAGCCAGCCCAGCCGCGGGCCCACTGCTCAGTGGCAGACCCCACCCCATTTCCTTCGTGGGTCCCTCACGTGTGGATTTTTTTTACCATTTCGGGAAAACCCAAGCGCAGTCGCGGCGGATTCCGTCCAGGCTGGATCCGATCGACGTGGCGGCCACTGCAGGTACAGGTGGCAGCGTCTGACTGGTCTGACAGTGGGCCAGCCCTCTCTGTGCAGGGAGGGGATTTTCAGGCTGAATAATTCTGTCAGATCCTGCCTGCCAGTAGTGCAAGTACTAGCTGGAGTAGATGAAAACAAAAGACAAGATTTACAATAAACGTTTCCATTGTTGGCAAACTTTTTCCCTCGTTATCATGTAATCCATCCGCTCTAAAATACAGCAATCCAGAATTAGATGCGACACATTCTCGCCAAACATATTTGGAAAGATAAAGATATGTCACAACTAGTTCTAGTTTGCTATATTTTGAGACGAAGATAGTAGAATTTAATAAACATTCGACCCCGTGGAATTTAATGGATATTTAGGGTTCATTTGGGACACATGACTGTAAAAACATAGAAGTAGAAAAATAACATCAATAAAATAAAAAATGCGTAGAACAGAGGATTTAAAAACACATGAATCCAACGCATGCGGGAGGTGGAGGCCAGCGGGAACGATGTGGGTGATGGAGGCGATGCATGCCGGAGTGAACGGCATGGACAGTGGAGGACGGAGGGAGCGATGTGATGAAGCCACGGGAGTAGCGCGGGCTGTGGAGGTCGGTGGGAGCGATATGATGAGGCAACGGGAGCAACGTGGGCTGTGGAGGTCGCCGATTTGGCTCGATGCGTGCTGATGGGAGCGTATGGGGTGCGGAGACAGTGGAGTCGATGGGAGCGATGACCAATGAGGCGGTTGCCACCTAGCCTGCTCCCGAGCCCACGCTAGCTTTTTCCAGCCACAAGGTCCTACTCGAGCACCCCTGGCTTTCCTCGAGGCCAATGCAAGGGGAGAAGGGGTGGGCGGCAAATAACGGTGGCATGGATGGCGGCGGAAGACGACGATGCTTCGATATGACTGATTGGGACAGTGGTGACCACCTACGACCTGTAGAAGAGAGAGAGAGAGAGAGAGAGAGAGAGAGAGAGAGAGAGAGAGAGTGCGAAGATGCGAAAGAGAGAAGGGGGAATAGGTGGGACCCACGGATGACAAGTGAGTTTGGCTAGTGAGGGGAGGGGTTTGGCAATCCGGATAGTTTGGGAAGTCAGATGGAGAAGATGTTGGAGTATGTTTTTTTTCAAGAATTTTCAAAAATTAGTTTCGAGAGTTATTTGGAGAGGCTATTGGAGTTGCTTTAATTAGGAGGTGAATAATGAATCGATAATCTCACTAAGTTCCTAATACAAACATATTCATATGTGTTCAGTGTAGGATTCAAGAATTTTCATCATCCTAGACAAGCCTAGCAACAAGTGAAGCATATATAAGTCTATATATGTTTCATAGATCATTTTAGCCGGAGTATTTGCTTTAAAAGTTTGTGTTAAGCACGTTTTCTGCTGTGGTGTTGCTTCATACGGCCTTGCCGGTGACTAAGCATGGTAGTTAGGCATTAATTCTTTGGTAAATTGTTGCATGTGTCTGATGGAGCCCGGGCCATTGCCCATGGTAGCCGGGCCTTGCCTCCGCCACTGTGTGTAGTCCCGTGAAATTCTTGAGCCGAAAGATGGATTCCCAAATCAAAGTATAACAAAGAGAAGAAAAAAACCACTCGATTCAAAAGTGGTTGCGAATTGTAAGAGTTTCCATGGTAATGAGGACATGCAAACCTTTTACATGTTCTCAAATGCTAATACATATTTCAGTTATGTCTAGTTTATATATTCTATAGTTTACCTTGTCATGTTTTAGGTACACTCAAATAATCACAAAAGTGCCACTATGTTTCAACAGCACATATATATATATGTCACCTACGCCAATAATGTGCATGGAGAGAGCATGGATCTCAAGTCCTCAACTCTCAATGCGACTTGGTTGTACTGTGTCCGAGTGGTTGCAATTGTAAAGCTAGCTAAGTGCACTACGAAAGAAAGTAGGGTAAAACAAACTACACTGGTGTAGTTTGTGCACTAGAAATGAAGCTGAGATGACAAATCAACTGGCTTTACTCCCTGGTTTCCCGGACAATGATGAAGGTAGTAAGGCATATGAGTGTTCCATTATCTGCTCGTTAATTAGCTTATCAGTTGTAACAAAAATTTAAATTTTAAACCTTATTTTTGAATTAATCTAGATGTTAATTATTTTTACCGTTTTATACTTTCTAGGCTTTTTTAAGCCGCGCGCGCTAACTAAAAATGCAAGTGCAAAATTCCTACCCTAAGATTATTCTTTGATGGATTATCACCCCTAGGTCAACAATCATCAGTTTTTTTCCGAATCAAGGACCAAGTTGGCATTGCGGGATATATATTGCTTATAATAAATAGTGCTACAAAATTGGTTATGGGAACATATCTTAGTTGGAATATAGTGGTAGCATGTTTCTTTGAGTTTAAGTAATTGTGTTTTGAGTTTGGAAAATTTCGAAACAAAAGTTTCAGCTAGAATCTCACAAAACCTGGAACGATTGTGAGTTCCTTCAAGTTCAGATCAAGGTGTCCTTCTGAACAACTGTGACGAGGTTTTGAATCCGGTGGATGGCCTTTTTCTCATCTTTAAATATTGCTAAAAGGTGCTGTAAATTGATTCTTAGGTATATTTAGGCTGCGGCAGTGCAGGATGGGAACCTATCCCACTTGCACCTAAAACAGAGCGGTCTATTATCACATGATTAATTAAATATTAGCAATTTTTTTAAAAAATAGATTAATATAATTTTTTTAAAGTCACTTTCATATAGAATTTTTTTTTTAAAAAAACACATTGTTTAGTAGTTTGAAAAGCGTGCATGCAGAAAATAAGAGAGGTGGGCTGGGAAGATGAAGTTTCGAACTCAGCCTTAAGGATAACTTTGGAAACCTTAACACTCGTGTGATGGGATCCAAAATTTGAGACCGGTGGACATAGGTTTCACTACCCTTTTTTAAATAAAAAACTAATCTTGAATACTCCCTCCATACTCGTAAAGGAAGTCGTTTTGTACAGTGACACGGTTTACAAAACACAACTTTAACTTATTATTTCTATAAAAGTATTTATTGAAAAGTGATATATGTATATTTTTATGAAAGTATTTTTAAGATAAATCTATTCATATAATTTTTACATTTTCAAACTCAACAATTTAACAGTTATCCATGATTTATATTTCCAGGTTTAACTTATTAAACATTGTTCTAAATAATTTTCTTTACGAGTACGAGTAAGTACTCGTTCAAGTGAATAAACTAGTATAATTTTAGCTGCAATAATAGCATGGATTGGCATGAGAGGTGACTACTGACTACACTATAGCTATGCAAATCACTGTCAGCACATTAGAGATAATTGTGTCCATCGTTCCTAGGAGTATTGTTCATGGTTGCGTGGACTAACCTCCTTCCTCAATTTCCATCGACCGGTGATGCGCATTGTCGATCTCTACTCCGACAATACCAAATTAATGACCACTGAACCACTAATTAATCCTACAGAACGATTAACAAAGATGCAGGGCATAATGTTTGATTCAATGCCATTATTAGCCTTGCCAATATTTTTTGGAGCAATGGTAAGATTTGGCCATTACAATTTTTTTTAGCAAATTTTTTGTTTGGATTGGTGGACAAAATATTTCGCAGGATTGACAAGGCTTTTAAACTTGTATTGCTATGTGCAAAATAGGAGTAATACCTTTTGTGTTTAAACCAAATAAGTGATAGAGAAAATTTCTAACGTACACATGAGTTTTCGTGCAATCCCTTCTATTATAATGAATTTTGTACCATCCACTACATGCTCCTGAGACTATTAATTTCAATATCTTTATTACCCATTTTGTTAGTTGACAATGAGTTACCCTTAATATTTCAAAATGAATATATCACCCCTTTTCTCATATTTATGTGCTAGCTTACTGAGAAAAAATATTTCAACGTGAAAAAATATTCATTCATAAGAAAAATGGTTATAGAACTTTTTTTTACCACAAATTTGAAAACTGAAATTTAAAATTTTTAAATAAATTTCAAATCAAATTCGATGGAATCTACATAACAATATCAAAAATTTTAAATCCAACAAAATCATTGAGGTTCATGTTTTTAAGTAGGTAGCATATAAGTATGAGAAATGAGTAATATAGTCATTTTAATAAATCTAACGACCAACTAATGCAATGGGTACATAGGAACTAAAATAAAAACTCAAAGGCATATAGGTGATGAGACAAAATTTGGTAACGCAAGATGTGTTATATTTGGCTAAACCCAGGGCGTTTAGTTTGAGAATATGTGGAATTAGATGATCCTTGAAAATAATATTTTCTCTATGTCAGGATTAGCTCCATCCTTAAGAAAATTGACCAATTAAACTTACTTTCTATTTCATTGATACGTGGGCCCCACTCTCCTGACAACGTAGAAGGACTCTTTCTATTCCAAATAGTTAGGATTGGCCAAACCCATCATACTTTATCCCTAAACCGAACACACGACAAAAGATTATGAAAAATTTAAGGACATACCTAAGCGTCAACATATTTGGCATGAGAATTATTTGACATGGTTGATTCGGGTTGCTATTAAAACAGACCCATAGTACCTAGTTGCACAAAGTTTATCGTGTCGTGCATATTGTCCCTGCAACATGGCGAAAAGCCATTTTCCCACAATGTGTACTTGATAAAAAAGGAAATAGGAAAATATAACTAAATTCCACGCTCCAAGTCTCCAACCACCTTCAAAAAGGTTAATCTAAGCTGGCAATGGTGGCTGATCCCTCCCCTTATAAAAGCCCATGCACTCACTCCCCTCCCTCCACAGGGTGTGTGTCCCAACTGGCCAACCCAAGTACACCTCTCCAGTCTCCAACCTTTCAGCTCACCTCTCCTCTGCTCTCGTCTTCTGCTCCTACCTCGCTAGCCAACTACATCTCCTCACAATCATAATCAAAGTGCGCGATCGATGTGCACTACCACATCTGCACCGTCCGTGCCGGAGGTGGCGACTCCGGCAGACGGCGGTGGTCACCACGTCTACGTGTCGCTGCCTCAGTGCACGGACGGCGGTGATGTGGAAGGCGGGCATTGTCGCCCCGTCGTCCACCAGGTCAAGTGTCGTGGCGGCGACGACGACGGTGGTGGAGGAGGAAGAGGGGGAGGTGTGGTCATGCCGGCGGCTGGGGAGACGGTGCGGGAGGCGGCGGCGCTGTGCCGGCTGGCGTGCCCGATCGCGCTGACGGCGCTGATGCTCTACTCGCGGTCGGCGCTGTCGATGCTGTTCCTCGGCTCCCTCGGCGACCTCCCGCTGGCGGCGGGCTCGCTCGCCGTCGCGTTCGCCAACATCACCGGCTACTCGGTGCTCTCCGGCTTGTCGCTCGGCATGGACCCGCTCTGCTCCCAGGCGTTCGGCGCGCGGCAGCCGCGCCTGCTCGGCCTCACGCTCTACCGCTCCGTCCTCTTCCTCCTCTGCTGCTCCCTCCCGCTCTCCGCGCTCTGGCTCAACATGGCCAAGATCCTCCTCTTCCTCGGCCAGGACCGCGACATCACCGCCATGGCGCAGGACTACCTCCTCTTCTCCCTCCCCGACCTCTTCTCCTTCTCCCTGATACATCCGTTACGGGTGTACCTCCGCTCGCAAGGGATCACCCAGCCGCTCGCCGTCGCCGCGGCCGCCGCCGTGGTGTTCCACGTGCCGGCGAACTACGTGCTCGTGGGGCGCCTCCGGCTCGGCGCCCCCGGCGTGGCGGCCGCGGCGTCGGCGTCCAACTTCGTCCTCCTCGCCGTCCTGCTCGCGTACGTCGCGCGGCGGGACGAGGCGCTGAGGGAGGCGGGGGGTCCCACGGCGGAGTGGCTCGCCGGATGGGGCCCGCTCGCGCGGCTCGCCGCGCCGAGCTGCGTGTCGGTGTGCCTCGAGTGGTGGTGGTACGAGGTGATGATCCTGCTGTGCGGCCTCCTGCCGGAGCCGAGGCCGGCGGTGGCGTCGATGGGGGTGCTCATGCAGACGACGGCGCTGGTGTACGTGTTCCCGTCGTCGCTGGGGTTCGGCGTGTCGACGCGGGTGGGGAACGAGCTGGGCGCGAACCGCCCCGGGCGCGCGCGCGCCGCGGCGCACGTGGCCGTGGCGGGGGCCGCCGCGATGGGGCTCGCCGCCATGGCGTTCGCGACGGGGATGCGGCACGCGTGGGGGCGGCTGTTCACCGCCGACGCCGACATCCTCCGCCTCACCGCGGCGGCGCTCCCCGTCGTGGGCCTCTGCGAGCTCGGCAACTGCCCGCAGACCGTCGGCTGCGGCGTGCTCCGCGGGACCGCGCGGCCGGCGCGCGCCGCGCACGTCAACCTCGGCGCGTTCTACCTCGTCGGCATGCCGGTGGCGGTGGTGCTCGCGTTCGGCCTCGGCGTGGGGTTCGTCGGCCTCTGGGTGGGGCTCCTCGCCGCCCAGGTGTGCTGCGCCGGCCTCATGCTCTGCGTCGTCGGCTCCACCGACTGGGAGGCGCAGGCGCGCCGCGCCCAGGCGCTGACGTCATCGGCCGCCGTCTCCGGCAAGGCCGACGCGGCGGAGGGAGGCGGGAGATGGCCGGAGAAAGGGGAGCATCAGGAGTGGGAGAAGAGGCGGCACGTGGCGTTGATCTCGAGCGAGGAGGCCGATCCCGAGACGGCCGAGGTGCTTTGAGATTGGTGAAAAAGACACGTAGCCCGTCGTAATTTTTTTCCACTGTTTTTTACCTCTGATTAATTAATTGGACAGTTGGACTACCTGAGTCCAAACTGCAACTAAGAATTGCTAATACAAAACCATCTCTCCTTTCTCATCTCATTGTGTATTATCAATGCTATTAATTCAGTCTGCAGCTCCACCAAACTACACCAAGGGTGTGTCTAGTTCACGCTAAAATTAAAAGTTTGGTTAAAATTTAAACGATGTAACGGAAAAGTTGGAAGTTTGTGTGCGTAGAAAAATTTGATGTGATGGAAAAGTTGAAAGATTGAAAAAAAATTAGAAACTAAACAAGTGCCAAAAATGTATCCCTAATTTCGACCGGCATGGCTGCGACAAGTGCAGCCATTTTTTTTCTCTTACCTTACCTCACAGATAAAAATAGATGATAACAAGTGTACAATAATAGATACGAGAGAAATAAAAACGTGATAACTTTTGGTCGAAACTCGAAAAGAATCGTAATCATGTGACCGTGGAATATTAACTCTAAAAATACTAGTAAAAGTTAGTGGGGGTGGGAAAAAAAAAGAGAGAGAATCCAAGAGGCCATAATTATCAAAGCGACGTGGTGGAGAAGGTGGATGGATGGGGAGGGAGGGAGCCGTGCCTCCCGGGAGGGATGCAAAGCTGGGCCTTGGGAGGGAAACACAACAAAAAGCTTGACTACTCCAACACATTGTTTCATCATCCATATCATCAGTGCCAAAAGGGACACATGCTCTTCTTTTCCTTTCTCCTTTTCATCATCTGTCTAATACACTCTTCGTCCTAAAAACAATCAAATCCTGCTTATAAATCTTGATATGTGCATGTGTATATATTCATAGCAAAGATCTATTTATTTATTCATTTATTTTAGAAGGAGGGAGCACATTATGGATGCAGCTTTGCAGCTGCAAACATGAAACACCCTGGATGAGTGAAGTGCACTGGTTGGTCACAGGGATGTGCAGGGTGCGTACAGGGATGGATCTCTCGAGGCTGTGGGCTTTACATTCAGGGAGCCCACCACAGACAAACACATGCATATCTGAATGCTGCCTATTGTCTCAAAGAAAAAGATCTGAATGTTGGCTCCCTAGCTACCAACCTGACCGCTTTCTCTCCTTATTTATCTCTCTGTCTCTGTGTTTGTGTGAAGTAAAATTAGCCATCTCGTTCTTTCGTTAGCAACTTTAAAGAATTACCTACTCTATCTCAAAATAACTTAACTTTAAGAATTACACTATTTTCATAAAAAAATTGGCTAGAATTTGATATTAATAGGAACATTCAAAGTGGATTGGAAGGTTAATTAAACGCCCTTTCTGGCAAACAAGGCCTGTTTTCAAATAAAGAAATTTTATAACTTCATATAAAATCGGGAATGGATTACCATGTTTGAAAGGACCTCTAAGGTGCTGGCATTTTTTATATTTATGGGAAGTAACTATGCAATATTCTATAGAAAAACTTTCAAAATGTAAGAATAGTTAGGGTGTAGTTTACATTGTAAGAATACTTTTTTTGTAGTCATTTGTCAAAGGGCGAGAAGGATCAAGAAATATTAAACATCGAAAAATAAGTGGATATTAAGTGAACTTGTCCATGAGAACATGACAAGAGAAGATCGATAAATAAAGGTGATTAAGTGCCTGCTCGTTTAGAGATTAAGAACGATATTCAATGAAACACATGTGAAAGTAGTTAAATACATTGTTTATTCTTGCTAGACTTGTCAAACCCAAATTTTCTTGATAGATATGATGAGCTCGTCACGAGTAACCTGGGAGAGCAAACCCTTACTTTTCGTAAAAGCAAAAGTGGCCCAACAGATTTAGATATTATAATTAAGCTAGCTAGGAAAGTGGCAAGCATCTTTTTCCACTGCTTAATTGCATGTTGAAACAAATTAAGAAGGCACAGAAGTAGAATTCATATTTTGTTTTGACAGCCACACATCTTGCATATATATCCATGCCTGCCTCCACTGAATGGGAAAAGTATAGCGTGCATATTTATTCTCTAAGTTAGGAGAAAGTAGCCAGATTATCCTATTTAGCTAATTAATTACGTACTCCCTCTTGTTTTAATTATACGACACTGTTGATTTTGAAAAATATTATTAATTATTTGTTTATAAAAAATATGTGTATTATGTATTTTCTTTGTTGTATCTTTTTTTAATTGTTAGAGGTGCTTTAAGCATCACTAATATATTTCATATTTATACTAAATCTTTTAATAATAGAAATGATCAACATATACCAAGAATAAACAATCTAATATATTTAAAAACATGTAAATATGTGGTGGAAACTCAACTTAGGTGAATACTCAGGTGAGGTAAACCTCGATAAAAAGTTATCTAAACTCATCGAAAAAATCACACACATAATGTTACACGACCATGTAATAAATCTTATTCAAACTTAGCGTCATTTGTGAGATATAAAATATCAAATTTCAACGCTGATAACTTTCGATTTCTCCGAAATTTGTTATTTTTATATCCCACTAATATATTTAAATGAAGTCTAGTTAATTTGGACAAGATATTTTATAACATCATCTACATGCACGTGTGATCAAATTCAGACGACTAGCTTGTTGTTTGGGTTTATACGAGTTTTCATCTAGGTTGGGTTTTCACCACATGTTTACCTTTATAAAAATGGAGGTAGTATATTCTTGAGTATATATTATATGAAAATGCGAGTAAGGGATTTGCTACTTCCCAATAGTGGTGACGGAGAAATTGTCACAGAATTTTGCTATATGAGGGGCTGAAATTCCTTGGCATTATTGAAGTAACTTTTCTATCAATATTATTCCCTACGCTCTGTTTTTGCATGATCTTGGATTTATAACATGGCTATATATAATTTTATATTGTAGTAAGTTTATAAAATCTAATAAGCTTAAGAAATTATGGAAGTATATATTTTTCAAGGAAAATCTATAGATATTATTTTTTATGCCTACTATGTATTTTAAATTTTAAAACTTTGACCGAATCTAACCCAAAGTATCATACACAAGGTTCGCAATACGAGCACGGGCTCGATCGGTTTTTCTTAAACAACTGGAGATCGATTTGTGAAAACTAGTGGTTTCAGCTGAATTTTGTAGAGTTAACCAATGGTCATCAGTTTTACTAGCTTTTGGCAAACTGGTCATTAACAATTTTCACCTAAAATGGTAATGTAAACTCTGGTCAATTACTTTTGACCAAAATGAGTTAGAAATTAAAGTCATGCATGAGTTATATATGTATGACAAAAAGGTCTGTTGTCTCTCTGTATGTAGTGATTTCAACTCTTAGGAAATCCTCTTATTGTCTGTTTCTTTTAATTTTGATCTTCTAAAACAAATTAACTACTCCCCTTCCTCAAGATTCTTTCTTTTGATCAACGGTTCCCATTGCCTCTACTCATTCGATCCTCTTATTTTGTTTCAACCAAGATAATTCAACCATCGTCAACGATAATTTGTTGTCTCACTCTTGAGAGTAAGGAGTGAAAACGGAGTGGATTTGGATATATAGTGATCATAACATATTCTAAAGGGTATTTTTTAAGCGGATTTAGAGCGAGGTGTAGATAGTGTGCAGAAGCGAATGTGGAGCAGATTGTTTCGGATGTCGGAAAGGTGCGGAGTCGATACAGACTTGGTTCGGAAACCGATTAAATTTATCAGATGTTACGTGTGTATGCAATTAATACAACATCAAGTTAGAAACGCAAGCTACAACAATATAGTAATCAATGAACGATCCATCGTAATAATTATAGGCTTAAGTGCTAAACAACATGAATACTCGATGTCCATAATAGAAAAATGTAGCTAAACAAGTGTGAGATGAGATGGTGAAAGCCTCGAACTAAGGAATCTATGTTAATGATGAAATAGGCCATTGGATGGGCCAACTCTTGTTATATGCAATAGATAAAGTGGTTACATGGGTTGATAATTTCGGATTATCCCGTAAACAACCTATTGAATAATCAACATTTGCTAGATTTTAGAGATACCATATCCGCATCCATATCTGTCTGATTTCAAAAAACTCATACCATTATCCGATCCGTTTTCGCCCATAACTGAGAGTAAACATGCCTCAAGCGATGTGTTGCCATGACGAATGTGGTTTTCAAGCAAGGCATGGCTAACCTGAGGCCAAATATGCTATGCTTCCTGAATTAATGTGCAGGTTTGGGTTGTTGTTATTTCAAGTGTAGTAATATAATGAACAAACACGTACTAAACACGCTATATTAAAACTGTTGAAGCACAAGTGATTTATGTACCTTTCCCTGTCATCTTAAGTTCTTGGTTGAATTGGCTGGTGTATGGAACTAATCAATATTATATCAGAGTTAGAGGTGTTAGTTCAAATACTTACTGACCGGCCGGAACAGTTAAATAGAAAAATTATATGTCCAAATTGTTTGAAGTGTTAACTCTAGCTAAATTGGTTGGTGCATGCAACAACTAAATAAAAACTTATTTCGATTGATTAGGTGACTCTCTAATTCAAGATCTTCTGAGAAAAAAACATGAATATGAAATTAATTTTCGTTTTCAAACTTAAATTGGAGTCATGTGTAAACAAGTAAAATAGCATGCATATATACTCCCAGTAAACTGAACAAAAATATATATGGATGGCCTGTTGATAAGAGTTTGTAAGTTAATTTATTAAGGTATGGTGCGGTTTGGCTTGGGGTTAAAACGCAAATGGCAGGAGAACTAGCTAGAAATCGGTGTGAATATGTGAAATTAATTTTATTTAACCAAAAGCCGAGTCTGTTAATTGTGATTTTGTCATTTCCATTAGACGTACGTACTGGACCACCCAATTGGGATAGATGCATGAAAAAAGGCCGGTTTAAGTTGCAAATAATTGAATGCCTGCTAGCTAGCTAGTAGATGTACAAATAATTGCAGTGAGTTGAGTCAATGAATGATCCTTGAGTGCAAGTGAGGGTGCACTTTCACGACCTGGTGTGCCCATGTGCTGATGGAACTATGAAACAGACCCCTCGTTTGGATGCAACCTGCTGCATGCTTCAATTCTTCCAACGAGATATATATATATATTCCATCTGTTCGATGTTAATCTACCGAGTTACAACGGGTTCAGGAAGAAATATGATTCA